TCTCGTTTACCGGAACCACGAGCCTTCGTTCATGCTCCTATGCCCCACCTTTTGATCAAACATTCTTTGTTCTATTACAACTTCGGTTTGAGGATGAGAGCTACTTTTACGACCTTACTGGAACAAGATCTGTTCTATAGGTTGTACAATTGTGTCCGTGAACTCTAAGGACGAGGGCTACTTTTTTCATGTAAACATTGTTAGATGGTTTGATATTCGATTGATATGTGTTTGTCCACCTAGGCTTGAACATCAATTCGGAGGATTATAGATTTTCAGTACTAGCAAATCCAATAGAGTGAAGAAGTCTTTTACGATGTTATTTTGTTTTATGACCTTGACGGGATTCTTTCTTTCAACGACATTCAATTGGATATAGTTTTGTATATAGGCAATGTTGCGTGTTTATCCATCTTGTTGCATGTGTTCTTGGAAGATGTTTTGATATCTTTCTATCTTCCCGTGAACGTTTCTTTGCCTATACTTTTACCTCAACGATTTTACTTGCTTCCCTTTTCCAGTCACTTTATATCATGCTTTCAGTGTCTCTATTGTGTTCTCCATATTGTGTTGTTTCCTAACAAAAGAGAAAGCAAAGAAAAGAAAAGCTAAATACTCGAGTATATTCTGAAGAAGCATGAACACTATGCAACACCAACGCTCGTTGATATAGATAAAATGCACTACATATGCATATCCTTGTTTATGCACCTATGTGTCGTATGTGAATACTTGCTTAGTTGCGGTCTTCATTCGAACGTATACTTTTAAGCCTTATGGCATATTAGAAATAAAAGATGAAATATTTGTGTGTACAATTTTGTAGTTTTTTCGTACTGAAGCTCAATCAATTACAATATAAGGAATTATGTCCATGGGTAGCAAAATGTAGATCGAGCTAGGAATAGTTGCTCGAGGAACAGTTTAGAAGTCTGGTATGGAGGTTTAGATGGAAGGGTTGTCATTAGTCGTGATAAACGCCGTATTGTTTTTATCAATTTCTCAGTATTTGTATTTTCATGAAGTTCTTTTATTGCTTGACCGTTTTTTCGTTGATTCTAATCTTGATGAACTCGTATCCGTTTGCAGCAAATTTGGGCCTGTGCAAGATGTAAGGATTCCATACCAACAGAAGAGGATGTTCGGGTTTGTTACATTTGTCTATCCAGAAACCGTAAAACAAATATTAGCAAAGGGAAATCCACATTTCATATGCGAATCACGAGTGCTCGTGAAACCATACAAGGAGAAGGGAAAAGTTCCAGAAAAGTACGTTTATCATAAACTCTTTTGTGTTCAATACTGTTCCCTTTCTACCTTTATAGCAGTGATGTTTATAATACGGATGGAATGTAGGAGGCAGCAGCATCAACAACAGCAGCTCGACAGGGGTGACTTTACTCCTTGCTTGAGCCCCTCTGGACTGGACACCCGGGATCCGTATGACCTAAATCTCGGTATGAAATAAGTAGGCAAACTCATGCCCCAAACCTTACAGCCATTTGGTTCTCGAAAAGCTGGGGAATTGAATGAATATGCCTCTCATTTTTCCCGTTCCGTTCAATTTACAGGAGCACGAATGATGTATAATACGCAAGGGATGATGTTGCGTAGGAAATTAGAAGAGCAAGTTGAATTGCAGCAAGCACTCGAACTTCAGGGTAGACGACTACTGAATCTCCAACTTCCCGAATTGAAGAACGATCAGCTACACCACCATCACCCACATAATTTATCTATTTGTTCTCCATTGTCCACTGAATCTCATAATCAAATGAATCAGAATATTTATCCTCCTGATTTTATAAATCAAGAAGCTTCTGAAGGTTCGCTGATTCTTCCTCGAACTTCTCTCAGACGACTTATTCTGTTAGCTAACGGTGAAAGTTTTTTCAGGTCATGAGAATAACCAAGTAGCTACCAACAATGCAATAAGCACGCCGCAAACCTTTCAATTGGACGAGAGTTCTTGTTTTATCCAAAGCAACAGCCGGGGCAAAGCGACCGAAGATGGCTACAACTCCGAACTGCTTGAAACTCACAAAAGGTCTAAAATTTAGCTTCTGATTAAACCATCTTGATGATGGTCCAATTATTTCAATGGTACGACGTATTAACCATTTTCTTCTATTTAATTTACTTCGTGCACGAGGTCAGTGTTGAGCAGGTCCTTCCTGATAGTCCATTCGCTTCTCCTAAAAAATCTACCTTGGGTCAACATTCTGATTTTTCGTCTCTTAAACCGGATGGATGCGGTCCCAATACCTTACCGTCATCGTCCCAGAGCAATTTGTCACTGCCTTCTGGTCCTGCTGGTGACATAACTTCACCTGAATAACGTTTTTACTCCACGGTCGAATGGCAACCTGTCGTCCTCTTGTGGTTGTTCACTTTCCCGTCATGCTAATTTATGAAGTCTGTAATTCAAAGTAAGATACATTACTTTCCTTAGGTTTCTATTCCTTGTGTGAATCTTTTGAAATATAGGCAATAACTACATGAGCATGGCCAGCAGATATCAACAATGTTAGGGTAAGATCACTGATCTCTTACTCATCAACTTCTTGCTATTTTTCGAGCGAATGAAACTGCTAATATCGCTTGTGTTTCATTTATGCAGAAAAATTAGAGAAGCATATAGCAGGCAGAAGAATTATCCCGAGATGTATAGAGAAAGTATACCTACTTTGAGGAGTAGATCTACTATTACGACCATAGAGACGATCTCCACAAGTATCATCTTCATCAATACACACTCCTAACAGCAAATACGTATAAATTCATACATTTAGGACAGATGATTTGGTTCATGAGAGTTAGGTTTCTTCTGTGTTTATTTTGTGCCTTATTTGGGTGTGTGCTGGACCATGCTGACTAAAGAACTCCGGTCGGGTTAACTCCCTTTTACATCTTTCGTCTACACATAAGTTCTTGTGTTCGTTCTTCGCGTTCATAGTTAGGTAGAATTTGAAGTTTCTGTGAATCTCACAAGAGCCACATTTGTACATAGCAGCCAGTAGTGTAGCTAACTGATGAAATGATCACAGAACTGATTGGGACCAAACAAAGTAGGGGTTGGTTACACCTTTTCCATTTTCTTTTCTCCTCAAGAACATAATAATTTGATGATACTATTCTTTTCTTTTTTCTTTGCAAATTGACAAAACAAGGACAAAAATGGATTTTGATTTGGTTTGTGAAAGTTTATAGCTTTAGAGGACTGTTTTGTCTCACACTGTTTGTGTTTAGGCCCACACATGGACCAAGGAAGGGTATCACATGGGGGCACTGACATGGTATAAATGGTATCAATCCAACACTCCCTTCCCTTTTCTCTGTACATTATTATATATATATATATGTTGTTGTTGTTCTTGTTTGTGATGGGCATTGTTTTGTGTGCATTGGAGGGAGTGAGGGGGGAGGCGCCAACTTTTGTACTGGCATGAGTTTAAATTATTTGGTTTGGTAGCTTTTTTTTTACAGTTTTTTGAGCTGCTTTGTTGTTCTGGCTTCCATATCAGAAGTGGTTGTGGTTGAATATGGTGCACACATGTGAACTGATCTGAGCTGTTCTCTCTTTTATTGGGCCCTTTTGATGACTTTTAAGAGATACCCACTCTCTCCATTTACCATTTACTTTTCTAAACCTTTTTCTGAGTGAAACTCTAAGTGGGGGAATCTGATTTGTATCAGTGAATGGGCATTTTTGGGGTTTGAATGAGAATTTTAGAACGAGTTTGTCTCTAACAACCCAACTAAGTAGATATTGTTCTCTTTAAGCTTTTCTTTTCGGACTTCTTTTACATTACTTCGGTTTGCGGGCAAAGAAGGCACCATGAGAGAGAGCGACACATATTGGGAAGCACATGGGGCATCTCGTTTTGGATGCCAAGATGACTATGCATTTTGTTTTGTTATAATTCACCATTTATTGCAAGTTTTTTTGGTGCTTTTCCAAGATGCTTTTGAAAAATTTGGAGTCTTTCATGACTCAGTTATGTGTGTCAGAGTTTAATGACTTTGTTACATACACGTACGTATGTATATGAACTCATTTATGTACTTCCCATTATATCATGAATTCAAAGCAAAGCCTTTTGAATTTGAATTGATATCTCTTTTTGGGTGGAATGAACACTTTATCATTATGCTTTTAACCCCCTACTTTCAATTTAGTTTCTATTAAGATGTAACGTTTATTTGGTTCGATTAGTTTGAACTATCATTGTCGATACATGTTTGGTTTTCTTAGTAACTAAAACTGTGGTTGGTTTGATTTGGGACGTTTTGTTGGTTTCGGTTGGTTTGATTTAGATTGGTAGTGTTTTTGTTAGGTGGGTTAGTTTGGTCTTCAAGATGCTCGTTTTGACAAAAAAATATTGACTTAGAATGACTCGTTTACACTTGTTTAAGTTGTTAGAAGATATACAGGGGTGTCTTACTTTTACTTGAAAATTAAGAATCAACACGTGATTTTAATATTTTAGGATAAAATAAGAACAAATAATGGTATTGAGCCGTCAAAAAGTGTATCATTCAAATGAGATGCTTAAATGAGTGAGAGATCTCCCGATGTCAACTCTCCACTTCTCAACTCAACTTAAATAATGTGGGACAAAATTTCCATTCCCCTCATTTTTTTCCATAATTTTTTTAGGTTATTACACGTTCGAATGACCGGTGAATATGAGACGACATGTTGGCTTCCCGGAGCACTCTACTAAAAAATACAAGCACATAGAATCTATCAAAAGTTAATATCATTCCACTTGACATTACTGAAGTAATTTGTACGTTTATTTCTAACATCTCATGTCTCGGATTCGACACCTAATATTTTTGATATTTTCCTGCATCCCGTATGACATGGTCACTTTACCTACTTCTCGTAGACAATTTGAGCTTTCATTGTCATTATACATTGATGACGGTTGTCTACGATTGTAGCTCTGCATCGTTTTTAAATTTTCTGATCAATTCAATTAAAAATAGTTAGATTATTTCTCAACCAAGATTAACGTTTCATTTTTTTTTTATAATATCATTCAATATGGTCTTTGACCAACAACATTGCCATGCAGGTTATAGTTACATGTGATGAGCACACCGCAGGCATTGTTGCATTCTACTCTTGTACGTCCAATTCTTATCGAGTTCCTCCATACCACTTGTGTATAATGGGTACACACGCTACCAGAATCACATGAATTGGTGGCGTAGTTATTGAATTGCTTTTCATCCACCCATAGCTTGACTGCGTTGGTGGCTGTCAAGTCGGGCATTCCCCATGCAAAGATTCTCCCCATAAGCCCCACCGGAGTGCACCAATTTGCAGTCATTGATGCGTTCATTGACATGTTGTTGGGCGTAGTTTGCCAGCTTCTCATCCCATTGTTGGCTTTTTCGCCTTAATCTCAAATTAATTAATTATAATTAATTAATTAATTGATATTTTGATGATAACAAACCTACCTTCAATTATTAACCATTCTCAGTATTTTTGTCCACAATGTAAGGTTGGGAATAATGATTTCAACATTTTTTTTTGTTCACTCAAATTAGAGATAAAACGAGGAAGTTTCAGTCAAAACAAATACTCGATGTGATGATGTGGTGGAAAAATTGACATCATGAACCAATCAAATTCAAAACAAGATACCTGACTTGATGATATGGCGACAAAATTGACATCATGAACTAGCGACAGAATTGACATCATAGTCAAAACAAAATTTCTTTTGAATTATGACATTTATAAATTTGGTAGAGTAACAAAGGGTAGAGTTTTCAATTACATTTATAAAATTTTTCTGTTATTTTTAAATGGAAAGAAATTATAATGATTTAAATTTACAAAAATTAATTTTGAAAAAGGAAATTATTTGAATTATAAAATTATTTCAATTACAATTATAATGATTTCAATTATATTTATAAAATTTTATTGGAAAGAAATTATAATGATTTAAATTTACAAAAACTAAGTTTTGAAAAAGGAAATTATTTGAATTATAAAATTATTTCAATTACATTTATGATTTCAATTATTATATTTCAATATGTTATATAATATATATATATATATATATATATATATATATATATATATATATATATATATATATATATATATGTTTTTAGGATCGCTATTTAAACTCTCACCTCTTCATATTTTTTTCACAACACAACACAGAACTTTCACAACACAACACACAGAACATTTCTTTTTTTCTTTTAGTTTATTCCAGATGTCTATTACTTCAGAGTGTTAGTGTGTTTCTAAAACATTTGTGTACCGATTTGATCTTGAGCCGTGGAAATGATTGAGTTTGCCTTTGAACTCGTAAAAAGAGAGATGAAGCTGTTGGTAAAGCTACTGTGTTATATTTTCTAACCCTTTTTCTATTTAAATTCTAAATTTTGAGTTTTATTGCATGTATAAGTTTTATTGTTATGAGAAAAAAAATTAATAATTAATTGTTGAAACTCTATTCACCCCTCTAGGGTTGTCATATCGATCCAACCCCCATTTGATAGGACCAACACCAACTTGGGCACGAGCAGCGTTGTGGGCATTGATGTAGGAAGCAGGTGAGTTCTCTTCAACTAGAGAGAAGGGGGTTAGGGGGGCCGGTTAGGGTGCTCGATTGAGTTATGGAGTTCAAAGTTCACGTGGAGTTAATAAATCTGTGTTTGGGGTACCAGTTCTTTAAAGAGGGAGGAGGCCGGAGGAAGATACATGGGTTGGAGTAAGTAATGAAACAAAAGAAATAGGAGTGTTTGTAGGTTGAGTTGGGTCGAGTTGTCTGAGTTGAGATATTTTTTTTGGACCCAAAAAGTTCTTTGGACAGTAAATTTTTCAATCGAAATATACCGTATTAACTAATGAACCCAAACCAACTCAACCATAAATCTTTTGGGTTGGGTTAGTTCGGGTTATAATTTTATTAATAAAAGTAAAATATTCGCCCGTAAAATTTTCAAATATTTAATAAAATTTGTTAATATATGTTTTGAAAAATTATTTTCAAATAGTTAAAAATAATGTTAGAGAGTTGTTAGAGAATAAATAACTAAAAAAAATTATTATAACATTAATTAAATAAATAAATAAATAAATATATATATATATATATATTTGTATTGCAAGAAAAATAAAATATATTGAAATTAACAATAAATTCGAGTTGGTTCGGTTGAACGGAATCTTGTTTTAGGGAAAATCATAATCCAATCTAATTTATAAAATTTTCATTTATTTGAATTAGGAAGATTGAAAGAGGTGAGTTGGATAGATTGATCGGGTTTTTCAAATCATTAAATTTTTTAAACACGGTGACGAAAAAAAGGTGAGTTGAATGAGTTAATAAGTTGAGTTGGTTACGTTAAGTTTTTAACCCAAACTTCATACGTCAGCCGTTTAACCAAGAGTTACGTTCCCAATTCATTATCCCAATTAGATCTACTTTAACCTTGTTTCTAAGTCGATTCCTCGAACACTATATTCAGAAGCATCAAGCTCAAAACTCGAAGATATAAAAGCGAAACAAGTGAGGGAAAAGAGTACCAGTAGGGAGAGAGACACGACATCAGGAATGAAGCAGCCGATGATATCCGACGTAAGTCCAAACGGTAAAAGAGCCGTGTAATCCTCATCTTTAATCGCCATCGCCATCGCCATCGCATATTACTCGACTTCAATCCTGTTTCACCAGAACTTATAAGGAGTAGAGAAAGAGAGCAAAAGTTGGAGAAGATTGATGAAGGCATGATGAGATGGTATAGAAATGATATCTCTTCTGCGGTGTTGGAGGCATGTTGAGTCTTGTGTGGCCTCAAAATTCAACCAAGATGATAGTGTGTTTACTCTACCGTGTTTTAATGCAATAGTTCAAGCCTACCGCTAGCATATATTATCAGTTTTAGCCTGTTACATATCGTCATCAATCTTACCATTATGAATCGAATCTTAGCAACTAAATATCTTATTTTTGTCTCCTGAAGTTGGGTACAGTTGAAGAAAGCCACTCGAAATTGGTGAGTGGGTCATAACAATAAGCATAATACAAAGAATGGAGCTCATTATCCTAGTTGCAGAAAAAGAAAAGATTAAGAATCTCAAACACAGAAATTCGACATGAATCCCAAAATATCAGGCAAATTTCAGAATCCAATTGAGTGCTAGCTAAAACAATAGCTGTGGGATGCCAATCAGAAGCAACAAGCTCAAAATTGAATAAATAAACGATTTAGTAAACCACAGAAATGCATTCGGAAGAACGAAAAAACAAACAAGTGATGAGAAAGAGTACCTGTCCGGCGAGGGCCGCCACATTGAGGAAGTCGAAAGAAGCTGCCAATGCGAGAAGCCGATCCAAACGGTAAAAGAGCCATAGAATCCACATCTTCAATCGCCATCACCATATTTCCCGACTTCAAACCTGCTTCACCACAAGATGCTTATTCGTTACGATAAGATTAAAACCCTAGAAAATTGAGCCAGTTCTTGAACCGAAAAAACAGAGATATGAAATGAAATTACCTATGAATCGGTGGAAAACAAGAGAAATCAAAGACGCAAGGAGAAGAACAAAAACGGAGCGAAACATGGAGAAGATTGAAGAAGCCATGAACGAGCACTGAACTGATTCAAGTCGGAGAGGTGTGTACCTCTCTTTCTCCTTCCCATCTTAACTTCTGTGGAGAGGTTGTCCCCAGATTTCAACGGAAAAAATTGAATTGGAAATTGATTGCGTAATGAATAGGGTGTTGGAGGGTTGATTTGCTCATCGAGGTAGAAAAGTACTGCACATCCCATTCTATGAAGTTGAGGACCAAGGTCATGTTAATATGTTATGAATATGTTATGAATTGATAGGTCTCAAATATGACTGCATATGATCGGGTTTCTTGACCTCAACGGTGAGGTTACTTAGTATTTCTTAAAATACTGAAGTCATGTGTTACTCTTATTTTCCAAGTAAAAGTAAGGTACCTATGTACGAATGAAGATGTCGTGGTGATAGTCATGAGACTAATGTTAAGATAGATGCATTCATGTTAACTGTCACCCTTAGGTTAGATTAGGGTATTGTTTTATAGGGGTGTACATGGTCCGGGTTCGTTGGGTTGAGGGATTTTTTTGACCCAACCCAAAGTTCGGGTTAAGTTAGGTTGATGGATTTTTTGACCTAACCCAAAAGTTCGGGTTGATTGGATTGATAATCCAACCCAACCCGAAACTTTTCACAACCCAACCCAACCCAACCCTCTCTATTTTCGGGTTGGATCCGGTTGGGTTGTAAATTTTTTTTTTTTAAGTTTTGGGTTGAGTTGGGATGATGGATTTTTTTTTACCCAAAAGTTCGGTTGTTGTAAATTTTTTTTTTTAAGTTTTGGGTTGAGTTGGGTTGATAGATTTTTTTTACTCAACCTAAAGTTCGAGTTCGTTGGATTGGTAACCCAACCTCACTCAATCCGAAACTTTTCACAACCCAACCCAATTATCAGAATACAATCTTAAATCAACATGGTCATAAAACTAAACAATTGCTCGTGTTAGTTGGATTGATAACCCAACCCAACCCGAAACCTTTCACAACCCAACCCAATTATCCGAGTACAATCTTAAATCAGCATGATCATAAAACTAAACTATTGGTTAGAGTAACAAAAATAACAAAAATACTTAGGGTCGAGCTAATGTCTCTTGATTAGCGTAAGTACCAATCTCGCAAGCCCATTAATAAAAAAAAAATTTCTTAATATATTTTATATATTTTTATTTGGCTCGGGTCAGTTCGAAGGTTTTGCCCACGAACTCAAAACCGAACCGATACCGTTCGAATTCAGAAAAATGAACGCAACCCTACCCGAAATGCTAATCCAACCCAACCCAACCTTTATAGTTCGAGTTGAGGGTTGGGTTGTTTGTATAATATCATTTATAACCATTAAAACAAGTCGATATCAGTAGTGTTACCAGCGACGAGACGTTCATACTATTTCTTGAACATAACATTCTTCTCGTAGTATTTCAACTACACAATACTCTCAAATTTGTTTATATAACATAACTTTCATAACCACCAAACACAACATTAAAATGTAAACGATAAGTAGCAACTAAACGTGTTAGGGCTTCCACCAAGAGGCCTCTTTATTCATATTAGGCCATAAGGGTTAGCTTAGATCGATATCATTTGAAGTCGAGTTGGTACTTGGGTTGTTTGCTCGGCGTGAACAACCCAAAATGCTTCTCAACTTCCTGAGGACCCTTCATATTTTCATCGAACATGGCAAAGAGGTAAACATGGATGCCTTTTCCCGGCCTTTTTGGTGTCCCTTTCCTACTCTTCACATGATTGAGAAGATTGTTGTAATAGGTGCCCGCATTCTCAATCGTTGCACCCGTACCACCGGCCGATGGCCAACCAGTCTCTGATATCACAATCGACACGTCTCTTCCACCTGATTTCTCGAGAGCAGCATACAACGTATCGACCATCGCATCGAAAAGGTTATCATACACAAGACTACCGTCCCTCACAAAACCCTCTGGTGGTGAATTGAATAAAGCATAGGGAAGTTGGACATTGGGGTCATTAGCATAGGCAAAATAGGGATACACATTGGCTAGAAGTGGGGAGTGAATTTGAGCTAAAAAGCTAACAATTGGGTTTATAAATTGGTATGCAGCCACATTGAATGAGCCTTCTTGAGGAGGAAATGACCTAGCTGGATCCAATAGTCCTGTGTCTATGGCTGTGGAAACCTTTATCTTTTCATGCAAATTAGCCTCTACAAGTGCATTGTAAATGCTTTGCATGGCTGGAAGGACAAACGGAGCATTTTTTGGGTCGGTCGAGAACACCTCGTTCCCGACAGCAATGTATCGGAACTTAACGTCTTGAACTCGGGATTGGACATATGTTTGGACCCAAGTTTTTGCAGCGGAAGAAGAAGTAAGATATTGAAGCTGGTCACTAGGAATGTCCAACATGACATGTATGTTTGAGCCTTTTAGGGCATCTAAGACCATCTCATTTGGTGAGTAAATCCTTATTTTGCCAATGTCATTGCTTTTGTAAAGCTTAATCACGTCTCTAATATTTATTAAGTTGTCACCACGATCTCCATAGCAGACACCGATCGCTTCTGTGCCTATGCATATAAACCATAAAAAAGTTGACTATTCGTGAAATATTAAAATATATATCTAACTAATGAGGAGTTAACTAAGACACGTTGATCAGAGCATATAGCTTAACAGATTGAGACATGCATCTTCGATCTAAAGATTAAAGATTCGAATTCTCACTGGAACTAAAATAAAAGTTAATAAGAATACAAACGAGAAAGAGAAATGCGATGAAGACCTATAGAGATGAGCGGCGTGAGGAGAATGAAAATGGAAGAAAACGCGAGGGAAGGAGTAGAATTGACCATGGTTAGGGCTATTTTGTGTTTTGATAGCTTAAAGGAGTTGGTATTTATAAGAGGCAAAACCCAATAGGCACTCCAAAAAAAAGTCTACTTTTCCCCTTCATTACTCTAAATTAGTCCGAGTAGCTACATGTGAAACACGTTTGATTTAATTAGTTCATCGTGGCATGATTAAGACCTCTTATTTTGTATCACGAGAGTTTTCGGTTAAATTTTGTTTTATGAAACTATAACAGTTCAAGCTTATTGCTAGTAGATATTGTCTATTTTGATCCGTTACGTATCGTTATCAGTCTCACTGTAATGACTCAAATCCACCGCTAGTAGATATTGTCTTCTTTGGGTTTTCCCTCAAGGCTTTAAAACGAGTCTGCTAGGAGAAAGTTTCCACACCCTTATAAATTAGGTTTGTTCTCCTCCCCGAAAACCAATGTGGGACATCACAATCCACCCCCCTTCGGGGCCCAGCGTCTTCACTGGCATTCTTTTCTTCCTCCAATCGATGTGGGACCACCCCCAAATCCACCCCCTTTGGGGCCCAGCGTCCTTATTGGCACACCGCCTCGTGTCTACCCTCTTCGGGGAACAATGTTTGTTCTCCTCCCCGAAAACCAATGTAGGACATCACAATCCACCTCCCTTCGGGGCCCAGCGTCTTCACTGGCACTCTTTCCTTCCTCCAATCGATGTGGGACCACCCCCATCCTCCCCGAAAACCAATGTGGGACATCACAATTCACCCCCCTTCGGGGCCCAGCGTCTTCACTGGCACTCTTTTCTTCCTCCAATCGATGTGGGACCACCCCCAAATCCACCCCCTTTGGGGCCCAGCGTCCTTATTGGCACACCGCCTCGTGTCTACCCTCTTCGGGGAACAATGTTTGTTCTCCTCCCCGAAAACCAATGTAGGACATCACAATCCACCTCCCTTCGGGGCCCAGCGTCTTCACTGGCACTCTTTCCTTCCTCCAATCGATGTGGGACCACCCCCATCCTCCCCGAAAACCAATGTGGGACATCACAATTCACCCCCCTTCGGGGCCCAGCGTCTTCACTGGCACTCTTTTCTTCCTCCAATCGATGTGGGACCACCCCCAAATCCACCCCCTTTGGGGCCCAGCGTCCTTATTGGCACACCGCCTCGTGTCTACCCTCTTCGGGGAACAATGTTTGTTCTCCTCCCCGAAAACCAATGTAGGACATCACAATCCACCTCCCTTCGGGGCCCAGCGTCTTCACTGGCACTCTTTCCTTCCTCCAATCGATGTGGGACCACCCCCATCCTCCCCGAAAACCAATGTGGGACATCACAATTCACCCCCCTTCGGGGCCCAGCGTCTTCACTGGCACTCTTTTCTTCCTCCAATCGATGTGGGACCACCCCCAAATCCACCCCCTTTGGGGCCCAGCGTCCTTATTGGCACACCGCCTCGTGTCTACCCTCTTCGGGGAACAATGTTTGTTCTCCTCCCCGAAAACCAATGTAGGACATCACAATCCACCCCCCTTCGGGGCCCAGCGTCTTCACTGGCACTCTTTCCTTCCTCCAATCGATGTGGGACCACCCCCAAATCCACCCCCTTTGGGGCCCAGCGTCCTTACTGGCACACCGCCTCATGTCTACCCCCTTCGGGGAACAACGAGAAGACTGGCACATCGTCCGGTGTCTGGCTCTGATATCATTTGTAATGACCCAGATCCACCGCTAGCAGATATTGTCCTCTTTGAGCTTTCCGTTTAGGGCTTCTCCTCAAGGCTTTAAAACGCTTCTACTAGGGGAAGGTTTCCACACCCTTATAAATGGTGGTTTGTTCTCCTCCTCCAACTAATGTGGGACATCACACTCACTGAATTCGTGTACGCTTCTACTAGGGCTTCTCCTCTAGTCTTGTTCAAAGAATTCGTGTACGTTGAGTCGTTATAATATCGATCATTAAAGGGTGTCAAATTCGAGTACGTTGAGCTATTTGTTCAAATTTAAGTTAATTTTTCATTAAAAAAAAATTAGTTTCTATGCACATAAATCATTGGTGTCACTATCATTTCATAATCAATGGCACGATCAAATAAGAAAAATTTATGTGGAAAATATTTTCACCCATACCCTACGACACGATACTTCATAGTCAAACTAATTCTTATCTTATATTAAAATTTCCACGATCAAATAAACTCAAATACATATCAATCATTTGTAACATTATATTCGGAACCATACAACATGACGGTCCACGATCGAACTTAGTTGTACACCAATTATTAGAATATTGATATCGGGATTTAAAGTTTAAGGATATATTATTAGTTATATCGATCAAATATTGTCATCGACAGATATTTATAAAAATAA